CCGCAGCTTCTCCATACCTTCTCCATAATTTCCAGAGTGAAAATTACATGACACACTGCACGCGACGATCCACGCACCACCGCTCCACACTGCTTCGTTCGCGTGCAGTGTGTCACAGGCTTTACAGCGAGCCCCCCCTCCCCCCTTGTCACTTTTATGTGGTATATCACCATTGGATCAAAGAGGGACTAATTCTGGTGTATGAGATTTGGTTATGTATTGCTCGAGCCCTAATATCTGAGCAAAAGTTAGTATTTTTTTTGATTAAACATCAATAAAATAAAGTTTAATAAAGTTTAAATTATTTAATAAATGGTTTAAAACCAATAAAGTGCTGTGGCCATTCATAATCCAATTGAAGTGTTGTGTTTTTATTATTGGGTTCTGGGGTACCGTGTGCAACTCCATGTTTGTCAGTAGCTGTCTTTACTATTAACAATAAAGGGTATCAAAGGATGCTTGCGTTCTTTCTATTTGTTCTGTAGTATTATATGTTTGTTCTATAGTATTACATTATAACAGGTAGGCAACCTTGGCACGCCAGCTGTAGTCAAACTACAGGTCCCATCATGCCTCTGCCTCTGGGAGTCATGCCTGTGGCCGTCAGAGTCTTGCAGTGCATCATGGGATTTGTAGTTGAACAACAGCTAAGGGTGCCGAGGTTCCCTACCAAAGCATGTAAAAATAGCTACAAGCTAAGACGAGCACTTGGAACAAGGTGGGAAAACAGAACGAGGTTACTGATTGGAACAAACCATGTCACATGACCACAAGCAGGAAGTGTGAGCGGACAGTGAACAGCATGAATAGATCTGCCAGAAGCTCTGCAATAATCGGCACGTGTATATAGATAGAGTGCATAGGTTGTCTGGTTTTTTTTATAGTATAAAGAGCACTGACTGAAAAGAACATCATATGAAAGAAATAAACAGAAAGATTGAATGAGATGAACTTTATAGTAGGAGGTGACCAATAAGGGATTGTTATAAGCAGTCAGTGTGTGGTATGAACTATATTTCTGTTTATAATACTGCACTCCTGGGTGTTTAGGTGACAAAATCAATTGTTAGTGACTTCTATGCAGCTCTGCGATTACAGCTCACACCAGTACGGGAGATACAACTGAACATACGGGTGACATCAATGGAGAACAAAAGGTGTGAGAAATGCCAAGAGAAGAGGGATGCAGCTCTGATAACGTCTTCACTGGAGACAGGTAGGTACACATGGAATGTACAATGTGCATTGGTGGCCATCTTTAATGTGGGCATATGTCACTCATGTTAATGGCAGATATAGGGCAATAAGATAGATGATTCCATAGAAAATGTACATTCATGTGAGCTGCCACTGTAATATATATATATATAAAGGCACTTTAAAAAAAAAAAAACAAGCATAAACAAATTTGCTTTTTTCATGGCTAAGTACAACTGCAACTAGAGATGTCCTGATACCATTTTTTTAAGACCAAGTACAAGTACTGTTCCTCATGTACTCGCCGATACCAATTAGCTTACTTTTTCTCAAAGGCACATGTGACTTTTTTGTAAAACAATACAGACTAATGATTTTAGGGCAGTTTCTTTATAATTATGAAGAACTGTAACTTAATTTATGATTATTCAGCAATGGAGAATGGCAACCAGCAATAGAGGACTACAGATCTCATCAATCCATGATTATAGCCGGCTGCCATTCCATTGCTGTATAGAGGACTAAAACATCAGCAATTCATGATTATTCAGTAATGGAGAATGGCAACCATGGATTGCTGGGATTTGTAGTCCTCTATAGCCAGTTGACATACTCTATTGCTATATAATCATTGATCCCATTATACAGGGTTGTGTTTGGGTCTCACCAGGGCGTGTGGGTCTCACCAGTGCTGGGTTTGAGTCTCCCAGGGCTGCATGCAGATCTCACCACAGAGTTAGACCTTGTGTTTTGGGTCTTGCCAGGGCCACGTGCGGGTCTCACCAAGTCTGTGTTTTAGTCTCATCCGGGTTGCGTGTGGGTCTCACCAGGGCTGCAGACTGTCACTGAGAGCCTGGTTAGGGTTGTGGTCATGTGTATGCTTCTGACAAATTGTCATGTTTATTTCCGAAGGGAAAGGGAAAAAGAGTTTAGTAAACAAGTTGTGGTGAATTCGAACCATATCTGCCCCTTACTCCTACTGGAAAAAAAACCTAAAAGAAAACAGCTTCTGCTTTAGGACTGGTTCACACCGCAAACAGTGCGCTCCAGAGTGGTCAGAAACTAAAAACAAGCTCAGTCATGAAGCTTGTGTCTTTTGCAGATCCAGTGCGAATTGCAATAGCAGCATTTTTGCAGATCTCACTGGACCGGAACACAGGCACTAATGTGGGTGTGGGCAATCGCACTGTCTGCGGGGGCGTAGCTGTGGTGCCATTGACTGCAATGCGCTGCCACGACTCCTCCCTCTCCTGAACGCAGGGAGTTGGCCAGGCCTGAAGAGGGCAGTACTCAGGCCTGAAGAGGGCAGTACTCCCTTATCATAATGCAATACACGATGACAAATATTTAAGTAACTTATTGGTGCAGGCATATTGCTGCCCAAGTTTATATTTAAAGCACAGCAGAACTCACAGAAATAGATAAGCAGTTAGACAAAGATTGTATACCATGCAACCTCCATTTTCATAATCTTACCTCCACTTTCTTGTTACAGAAGTTGTGCAGGATGTCTAAATTTGACATGTATAGCCCAATGTACAACAGAGTTAGACCTTGTGTATTCCGTTACTGGCACCCAGTAAGGTACCTGGTCAGACATGCCCTCTCTGTTCCTCCATATAAGTCTGTATGAGGG